AGAGATTGCTGTGCATTAATTTTGTATCCTGCAACTTTACCAAATTCATTGATTAGCTCTAGTAGTTTTCTGCTGGCATCTTTAGGATTCTCTATGTATACTATCCTGTCATCTGCAAACAGTGACAGTTTTACTTCTTCTGTTCCAATTTGTATTCCTTTTATTTCTTTTTCTTCTCTGATTGCTGTGGCTAGGACTTCCAAAACTATGTTGAATAATAGTGGTGAGCGCGGACATCCTTGTCTTGTTCCTGACCTTAGAGGAAATGCTTTCAGTTTTTCACCATTGAGAATGATGTTTGCTGTGCCTTTGTCATATATGGCCTTTATTATGTTGCGGTAGGTTCCCTCTATGCCCACTTTCTGGAGAGTTTTTATCATAAACAGGTGTTGAATTTTGTCAAAAGCTTTTTCTGCATCTATTGAGATGATCATATGGTTTTTATTCTTCAATTTGTTAATATGGTGAATCACATTGATTGATAGGCGTATATTGAAGAATACTTGCATCCCTGGGATAAATCCCACTTGATCATGGTGTATAATCCTTTTAATGTGTTGTTGGATTATGTTTGCTAGTATTTTGTTGAGGATTTTTGCATCTATATTTATAGTGATATTGGTCTGTAATTTTCTTTTTTTGTAGTATCTTTGGTTTTGGTATCAGGGTGATGGCAGCCTCACAGAATGAGTTTGGGAGTGTCCCTGCCTCTGCAATTTTTTGGAAGAGTTTGAGAAGGATGGGCATTAGCTCTTCCCTAAATGTTTGGTAGAATTCACCTGTGAAGCCATCTGGTCCTGGACTTCTGTTTGTTGGAAGATTTTTAATCACAGTTTCAATTTCATTACTTGTGATTGGTCTGTTCATATTTTCTATTTCTTCCTGGTTCAGTCTTGGAAGGTTATCTCTTTCTAAGAACTTGTCCATTTCTTCCAGGTTCTCCATTTTATTGGCATAGAGTTGCTTGTAGTAGTCTCTTAGGATGCTTTGTATTTCTGTGGTGTCTGTTGTAACTTCTCCTTTTTCATTTCTAATTTTATTGATTTGAGTCCTCTCCCTCTTTTTCTTGATGAGTCTGGCTAATGGTTTATCAATTTTTTTTATCTTCTCAAAGAACCAGCTTTTAGTTTTATTGATCTTTGCTATTGTTTTCTTTGTTTCTATTTCATTTATTTCTGCTCTGATCTTTATGATTTCTTTCCTTCTGCTAACTTTGGGTTTTGTTTGTTGTTCTTTCTCTAGTTCCTTTAGGTGTAAAGTTAGATTGTTTATTTGAGATTTTTCTTGTTTCTTGAGGTAGGCTTTTATAGCTATAAACTTCCTTCTTAGAACTCCTTTTGCTGCATCCCATAGGTTTTGGATTGTCATGTTTTCATGGTCATTTGTCTCTAGGTATTTTTTGATTTCCTCTTTGATTTCTTCAGTGATCTCTTGGTTATTTAGTAACGTATTGTTTAGCCTCCATGTGTTTGTGTTTTTTACATTTTTATCCCTGTAATTGATTTCTAATCTCATACCATTGTGGTCAGAAAAGATGCTTGATATGATTCCAATTTTCTTAAATTTACTGAGGTTTGATTTGTGACCCAAGATGTGATCTATCCTGGAGAATGTTCCGTGCACACCTAGACGAAAGTATAATCTGCTGTTTTTGGATGGAATGTCCTATAAATATCTATTAAATCTATCTGCTCTATTGTGTCATTTAAAGCTTGTACTTCCTTATTAATTTTCTGTTTGGGTTATCTGTCCATTGGTGTAAGTGAGATGTTAAAGTCCCCCACTATTAGTGTGTTACTGTCGATTTCCTCTTTTAAAGCTGTTAGTAGTTGCCTTATGTATTGAGGTGCCCCTACGTTGGGTGCATATATGTTTATAACTGTCACATCTTCTTCTTGGATTGATCCCTTGATCATTATGTACTGTCCTTCCTTGTCTCTTGTAACATTCTTTATTTTAAAGTCTATTTTATCTGATATGAGTATTGCTACTCCAGCTTTCTTTTGATTTCCATTTGCATGGAATATCTTTTTCCAACCCCTCACTTTCAGTCTGTATGTGTCCCTAGGTCTGAAGTGGGTCTCTTGTAGACAGCATACAGATGGGTCTTGTTTTTGTATCCACTCAGCAAGCCTGTGTCTTTTGGTTGGAGCATTTAATCCATTCACGTTTAAGGTAATTATCAATATGTATGTTCCTATGACCATTTTCTTAATTGTTTTGGGTTTGTTTTTGTAGGTCCTTTTCTTCTCCTGTGTTTCCCACTTAGAGAAGTTCCTTTAGCATTCGTTGTAGAGCTGGTTTGTTGGTGCTGAATTCTCTTAACTTTTGCTTGTCTGTAAACCTTTTGATTTCTCCATCAAATGTGAATGAGATCCTTGCTGGGTAGAGTGATCTTGGTTGTAGGTTCTTCCCTTTCATCACCTTAAATATGTCATGCCACTCCCTTCTGACTTGTAGAGTTTGTGCTGAGAAATCAACTGTTAACCTTATGGGAGTTCCCTTGTATGTTGTCATATTTCCCTTGCAGCTTTCAATAATTTTTCTTTAATTTTTGCCAAGTTGATTACTATGTGTCTCAGCATGTTTCTCCTTGGGTTTATGGGACTCTCTGCGCTTCCTGGACTTGGGTGGCTATTTCCTTTCCCATGTGAGGGAAGTTTTCGACTATAATCTCTTCAAATATTTTCTCGGTCCTTTCTCTCTCTCTTCTCCTTCTGGGACCCCTATAATGTGAATGTTGTTGCATTTAATGTTGTCCCAGAGGTCTCTTAGGCTGTGTTGTCCCAGAGGTCTCTTAGGCTATCTTCTTTTCATTCTTTTTTCTTTATTCTGTTTCACAGCAGTGAATTCCACCATTCTGTTCTTATTCTGTCACTTATCTGTTCTTCTGTCTCAGTTATTCTGCTATTGATTCCTTCTAGTGTAGTTTTCATTTCAGTTATTGTATTGTTCATCTCTGTTTGTTTGTTCTTTAATTCTTCTAGGTCTTTGTTAAACATTTCTTGCATCTTCTTGATCTTTGCCTGCTTTCTTTTCCTGAGGTCCTGGATCATATTCACTATCATTATTCTGAATTCTTTTTCTGGAAGGCTGCCTATCTCCACTTCATTTAGTTGTTTTTCTGGGGTTGTATCTTGTTCCTTCATCTGGTACATACCCCTCTGCCTTTTCATCTTGTCTATCTTTCTGTGAATGTGGTTTTTATTCCACAGGCTGTAGGACTGTAGTTCTTCTTGCTTCTGCTCTCTACCCTCCGGTGGATGAAGCTATCTAAGAGGCTTGAGACTCCTGTGTTTTCTTTTTTTTTAAATAAATTTATTTATTTATTTATTTGGCTGCATAGGGTCTTCGTTGCTGCACACGGGCTTTCTCTTGTTGCGGCGAGTGGGGGCTACCCTTTGTTGCGTTGCGCAGGCTTCTCATTGCAGTGGCTTCTCTTGTTGTGGAGCACAGGCTCTAGATGCGCAGATTCAGCAGTTGTGGCTCACGGGCTCTAAAGTGCAGGCTCAGTAGTTGTGGCGCACGGGCTTAGTTGCTCTGAGGTATGTGGGATCTTCCTGAAACAGGGATTGAACCCGTGTCCCCTGCATTGGCAGGCAGATTCTTAACCACTGCGCCACCAGGGAAGTTCCTGTCTTTTCTTTTTGACCCACCTTTTATTTTCTGACCCCCAGCGATTCACCTACAGCAAGAAAAAAAATCTCTCCTTGTCCTTTCCATATTAAAGATGCATCATTTTTTAGTACTTTGAAGTAAGATAAGGTACTTGAAAATACCTTGCATCCTGATAGCTAGCCTTGTGCAAATGTAAATTGTCATTATGTTGGCATCAGTTTTTCCATTATGTGGTCCATTTTTACCTTCCCCTTCCCCCCAGTTCCTCTTAATATTAGCAGCCTGATAATATCATTCATAAGGCTTAACAAACTTCTTTCCTTGCCAAATACTTTCTGCAGTATATTTTTCCTTCTTCAAAAGAAAATGCCACTTTGGCTTTTATTTATGAGTTCTCAGCAGGTCCCACACACAGAGAAGGAAATTACCTTTATTGAAACACTAAGTGACTTGGTCTAGGTGCAAACTTGATTTCACTAATGAATCTTTCTATTCCCTATTGATTGTTTTCCCTAAAACACAGGGGACTGGCCACCACTAAGGTGCCTTTGATATAATTTCTGGTCTCAATTTCCATCACTTCTGTTTCTTTCTTTTCTTTCCTATTCATTTTCCCTTAGGCCTCTTTTCTGTGTTATTTCTTCTTTTTATCTTCCTTCCTCTGTCTATGCTTTAGGATTACTGGTGCTGCTGGCAAACAGTGGCTTAAAAAGAAACCCAAACCAATGAGAACTAAACAAAACAACAGCAAATCTGCCATCGTCTTCACAGGTTTACAAAGAAGTTATTAAAAAGTCAAGAACTCAAGACTTTGGCCACGACAAGTTAAAATCAGGCTACAAATAATGCTCACACTACAGAAAAACAATGATAGATCAGTCAAGATGAATCAACAAAGAAAATTAAGGGTATAACAATTTTTATCATTGTATTTATTACCTCATGGTTGACCTCAGGGTGTGTATATAAATGTATACATGTATCTATTTTAGCTTTGACATTTAGGCCTATTTTCTTATTGGATAAGTCAAGGTTCAGTTTTATATTCACATGCCTAGTACATAGGCAATGTCTAATAAAAACTGCTGAAAGAATGAAGGCATTTTATTCAATGGGGCTTATCATGTCTCACATTTGGTAAAACCCAAGATATGTTGCATTGGATTCATTAATCATTAACAATCAGGCAATTCCTGAATCTGTATAGAAGGATGGTGTGCAGAGGGGTGAGGGAGTTTATGGGAGGAGAAAGTGGCTTAGATAAATGCCGTAATCTGTACTGTGACACTAAGATGCATATTGGTGGAAAAAATAACTCGTGATCAGTCATATTCTGTTGCTATTTTAACTATAAGCTACTGTTAATTACAAAATTACTTGCCGTGACATCATATGATTCTCCATTTCTAAATACTTTGCTGTGGCTTTGTATTATTCCTTGAACAATTAACTCCTCTAGGATGTCTGATGACTTTTGTTGCTCTCGATTCTCTAAGGGTTGGGGTTTATGGATTAATCCACTGATCACTAGGTCTTCCAAAGGAAAAGAAAAAAGAAGAAAAGAAAAAAGAAATTTAAGCACGAAGATTTTATCAATCAAATGCTAAATACATGCCTTATAAATCATGCTAATTAACTCTTAGTCTCAACACTTGTACCTAAATATCTGTTTCTACTACAAATCTTTATAATCCTTTGAACTTCAAATCCTTAATGTTCTTACAGAGGATACACAACAACATAATATACTATTTACTTAGCAGGTCGAATATTAACATAACAAAAAGTCTTTGTGCTGCTATGTACTACTATTTTGTTGTAACAACACTTACACACTCGGGTACAATTATACAGGTTCTGTGCAATAATTATGAAGCTGAACCATAGCCACGAATGAGATAGTCTTTCAGTGACTCTGAGTTGCAGTTTGGTTTCTATGCTTTGTATACAAAGGATAAACAGCGGGATGTTGCCAAGAGACTTCTAGTTCTGCAACCCTGAGTTTACAATTACGCCATCTGCTAAATCTACATAAGTAAAAGCATGCCTTTTTGAAAAGAGTCTTTGAACCAAATCAGAATTGGAGTCGAGTGGTAGCTAAATTTTATTCTAAAAATGGCACGGAAATAGTTTATAGGGGAGCACTAATGAGAGAGACCGCTCCCATTACAAATCACCCAATTATATAAATAAGCAAGCAAGCATCTGTTTTTACAACCTCATAAAATAAAGGTGCAATGAGGGGTCCTCAGAAATGAGCTCTCTTCTATTTTAAGAAGTCCATTTCATCCAGTGGATGGAATCTTTTTATGAAAATTTCTAAACCCACTGGTTAACAAAGACAGTTTTCATGAATTTGTAATGGGAAGACAGGAAAAACACACACACGCGCACACACACACACAAACCAGATGTCTCTCACTTCAGAATATTAACCTTCCTGGTATCAGAGACTTCTCTAATTGCCTGCTGTAATTAACTCCAACGAATTTCCTATAGTCTTATCACCTTTCCAGTGCTATGTCTTCTACTCATACACGTGTTTGAAATAGAGTCAGTTCTCATTTTAAAGTGCTCTGTACAGATTTTGGTACAGAGTAGTAAAGCATGAGTTTCAAGGAGGTAAATTAGAAACTAAAAGAACAGAAAAAAATCAATAAAGAAGAGTGAATCCTCTTCAAGGAATTAGAATGAATTTTTTGTTAGAAGCTGGGCTTATCTGCAAGGGTCAAAATAATAATAATAATGACCATTTATTGAGCACTCATGTGCCTGGCACTATATTAAGTACTTTATGTTCTTTGTAAGATCTAATTCAAACATAAATTCTGTGACAGAGGTGTTAGTACTCTATTTTTTTTTTTTTTTTTTTTTTCGGTA